TAATTATATGCAAGTGGTTTTTAAAGACATAGGAATTTCCGGGTTGTATGCGTCATAAGGGGTGTAGAGCTCCCCCTACTTCCACATTGTAGTGATTTCTGTCAAATTATAGTATGAGGTCGGAGGAGCTAAACTTTAAAAGGTTTCGAATGCTTTTTTTAATACTTTTAGTTTACATTGAGGCTCTCTTTATATTACTTGTATTAAATATCTTCTGTAGGAAGTCTTTCAACCCTGAAAACTCAAAATACAAATTTTCAGCCTCATGGATTGTAAAATGTGCCAACGATCAGGGAGTAATTTATATAAGGAACATATATTGATAACTTTTTTTCATAAAGGGGTAATAAGAACTAGAAATTTCAAATTATGGCGAAATTAAATGGATAATATGACCACAAACATGATGAAAATAATTGAAAGCGGTTTTTACCATTATGCAGTGGGCTATACCAAAAGTGGACCGATATGAATTATTTTTTAAGCCAATGATTCTTGAACTAGTCCAAAGCCTTAGATCAAATATCAAATGTTTATATTTAATGTTGCGAAATATAGCTCAAAATATTGGAACCCATTTTGGTAAATGGGATAATGACTCTAAAATAGTTTGTCCTGAGAACAAAAAAAAAAAACTAGTTTGTGGTCTTGATCTACGAACTGTATACTGTATATATCATTTGATACGGCCAAAACGTGCCTCACCGAAATAACGGTTGTAGACCCTAGGTCTCTTTGCACCAAACCTGTTTTAGGAAATTTGGAGTTCATCTAGCGATGTCCGTCCGTCCATCCGTCGGTGTATCTGGTTGGTGCGCACGATAACTATGGAAGGGAGTATCCGATTTGGTCCAAACTTGGCACATCGTAATATTATTATCATACTTAGATTTTGTTCGAAAATGTACAATATTGGTCCACTCTTTTTTCTACCTCCCCCATAAAAGGGTTGTAAAAAAAAAACAAGTAAAAAAGCTGTAAGTTCGACCGGGCCGAACTTTTAATACCCTCCACCATTTGGTACAAATTTTTCAATTTCCAAAAAAAAAAAAAAAATACCGTTAAAAATTCTGTTAAAATCTTAAAAATACCGAATGCTTATACGACGACGTGGGCCTGCATAGGCAACTTTTGTCATAAATTATTACAATATTTAAATGCGAAACTTGAAGAAAAATCTGTTCGAATATGGGGGGTACCGTTATATGGGGGCTATACGAAGACGTGGACCTGCACAGACAATTTTCTGGCATGGGCTGAAGTATCCATTACGAACTTCACATGCGAAATTTGAAAGAATCCCTGTAAATAATGTCGCTAAAATCATTAAAATACCGAATATCAGGGGGTACCGTTATATGGGGGCTATATGAAGACGTGGACCTACATGGCTCATTTTTTGACTTTGGGTGAAGTATCCATTACGAACTTCAAATACCAAATTTGAAACGATTCCGGTAAACAATGTCGCTACAATCATCAAAATACCGAATAGATAATTTTCTGTCTTAGGCTCTAGTACCCATTACGAACTTCAAATACCAAATTTGAAATAATTCCGGTGAATAATGTCGCTAACATCATCAAAATACCGATTATCGGGAGGTACCGTTATATGGGGGCTATTTGATAACTTGGACCTACATGGCCCATTTACGAACTTAACCTGCCTACTGGGAAAATATACATGTGTGCAAAATTTTAGCCTTCTATCTCAATTTGTTCGAAAGATAGCGTGATTACAACAGACAGACAGACAGACAGACAGACGGACAGACGGACAGACGGACAGACAGACAGACACACAGACAGACAGACGGACAGACAGACAGACACACAGACAGACAGACGGATCAGTTATAAAGATAGTATAGATCGGACTATTTCTTCTGGTACCTCCCCACAAAGGGTCAAGGTTTTCAATAACCAAAACGATTATTAAATCCGAAATAAGCAACCGGTTCTCTTCATATTTTACACATCCCATTATTTCTACTAACACAAGATCCGCTGTAGATATGGCATATACCGGTCAACTCCTTCTGGTACCTCCCTACAAAGGAGCAAAATTTTAAATATCCATGAATCTCATAAAACGCGAAATTAACATCCGATTCCATTCATACTGTCGTATCTGTTATGCAGATGGTAGAGATCGTATAATTTCCTCTGGAACCTCTTTTTGAAAAAAGAAAACACTCAAATAAATTGAAATATGAATCCAACTCTCTGCAAATTTCACAAATGCAAAAATTTTTGCTAAAACAGGATCTGTTGTGAAGATGATATATATCTGCGAACCCCTTCTAGTACCTCACCCACAAAGGGTCACAATTTTCAATACTTTTATCTGTCATAACTTGCGAAATATGTTAGCGATTCGTTACAACGTATAATATCATATTTATTTATGTCCGACAATATTTGCCAAATGGACAATATTGGTCCATTCCTTCGGAACCTACTCCATAGAGGGTCAAAAATTTAAATAATCATAACAGAAGTTGAAATATAATTAAATAATCGAATATTAGCTAAGGGTTAATATTTATCGACAAAACCTGGCTGAAACTTTTTTAACTTGTTTTAGATCTTCTTTTATTTACTGGCGGATTTTCCCCTTAGTTGTCGCAAAAAAAATGGAATTTGTCTCACTGGCATATTAATCGGAGTAATATTGCCGAAGACACAATTTAGAGGTTAGAGAGGTTATTAGATGGTTATTTTAAGTTTGAGGTAAAAACAAAATGATTAATTTAATATACCATTCGTAGGAGTCTTTGAGTGGGGCACGATACATCTTCACCTTCCAAAACATTGACCTATTCCTATTCATTTATTCCAATACAAATTTAAGATATTTTGGAAACTTTTGAAAAGGATTACCCCGGGCGGGGTTTGTGACTCAATTGAAGGTTGGTCGGTCGGTGTGTGACCCAGCTATTTTTATTGTAATAGAATAACAAACTAAAATGGTGGGTGTCTTGCCTAGTCCAACATATCACCCTGTGCTTTTTTTAACATGGTGTTATTCAAGTAGTTTATAGCACTGTGCGAAACAAAACATAAAAGTTACAAGGAAATTATATTGAGGTGTATACGATGTAGGCCTACATAGGCATTGTTTGTCATAATCTATTACCATATTCAAATTCGTAACTTGAAATAAACGTGAATAATGAATAAATGTTGAATAATGTTGCTAAAATCATCAAAATATCGTATATAGGGAGGTACCGTTATATCGGAGCTGCACGAAGGCCTGGACCTGCATAGACAATTTTCTGTCACAGGCTGTAGCATCCATTACGAACTTCAAATACCACATCTCAAACAATTTCGGTGGGTATTGTACCTAAAATCGTCAAAATACCGAATATAGGGATGTACTGATATATGGGCCCTATACGAAGACCTGAACCAGCATAGATAATGTTCTGTCTTAGGGTGTAGTATTCAATTCGAACTTCAAATACCAAATTTGAAGCAATTCCGATGAATAATGTCGCAACAATCATCAAAATACCGAATATAGGGGGGTACCTTTATATAGGGGATATACGAAGATGTGGACCTGCACAGACAATTTTCTGTCTTAGGGTGAAGTATCCAATTCGAACTTCAAATACCAATTTTGAAACAATTCCGGTGAATAATGTCGCTAAATTCATTAAAATACCGAATATCGGGAGGTACCGTTATATGGAGGCTATATGAAGACGTGGACTTGCACAGACAATTTTCTGTCTTAGGATGTAGTATCCATTTCGAACTTTAAATACCAAATTTGAAACAATTCCGGTGAATAATGTCGCTAAAATCATTAAAATACCGAAAATCGGGAGGTACCGTTATATGGGGGCTATATGAAAACGTGGACCTACATGACCCATTTACGAACTTAACCTGCTTACTGGAATACTAACATGTGTGCAAAATTTTAGCCATCTATCTCAATTCATTCGAAAGATAGCGTGATTACAACAGACAGACAGACGGACAGACAGACAGACAGACGGACATGGCTAAATCGTCTTAGAATTTTACGCTGATCAAGAATATACAAACTTTGTTGGGTCTGACATGAGTATTTCAAGGAGTTACAAACGGAATGACAAAGTTAATATACCCTCCATAGAATGGTGGAGGGTATAAAAAAGAAGTAGTTCTCCTCTCTTCAACACTTATGGTCATGTTCGGATTAAAATTCCTCATAGTTCGTGTATTTAGGGTACATAGTGTCTTCGGCAATATTGCAGATGAAATTAAGAGAAGTATTTTGATATTAACCCTCAAGCGAGTCAATTGTGCATTAAAAAATTAACTGCATCAACGGTCCAAAAAAAAAAAAAAAAAAAAAAAAAAAAAAAAAAACCGAAAATATGTCCTAATTTTTTTGATCAATTTAGGCCTGGACTTTTTTCAAGTTGACGCCCGAAAGTAACAAAAAATATCGTTTCAGGTGAAAGAAGAAACTATCTACACAAAATCTCACTATAATTCTCAGAATAAACCAAGTACCACAATATTTTTGTTAACATTGATGCTAATATATTTTTAATTTGCGATAAAAATAGAAATTTATTTTCTCCAATAATTATAGTGAAATTTGATGAAGAATATTTTTGTCTTTGACATTAGCCTCTAAAATGATGCTTCATTGGAGATTTTTTTACAGACTCACACAAATTCGGCTTTGTCTTCAATATATATGAATTTCTGGCTGTTAGGTAAGATTTCGATTTTTTGATGTCTTCTAGGGCCTATAGTAGAATTTTATGATCATATTTTAAGGTTTTTGTTAACCCAACCATTTTTTTTTTTTGAAATTAGCGGTCTCTCTCTACTTAAAAATATATATTTGCTACATAGGTGTTATGAGCCCCCAGAAAAATGGCAATTTCGATCAAGTCTGTTAAATTTCGAACATTATGTATGTTTTGTGAAATTCCTTCTTATCAATTGCCATTTTATATCCTTCCATATGAAAAAATCACATATCTTGTTACTACAAAATTGCTGAATAAATAGATTTTATTCAGAAATTTATTAGCGGAAATTGATATTTTTTTTAGCTTTAAACTACACAATGACTACACATAGTTTCTTCTGATTATAACTGCAATGACTAGAGAAACACTTCCGCCTTAGGAATATGTCGTCATTGGTACGGATATTTCGGCCATGTCATCGTTATCCCTGTGGGAGCAGAAAAACACTCATAAGTATTATTTTAGAAAAAAAAAAACATTTTTAACTTCCTCTACTCACATATCATCGTCAATGCGTCGCAAAAACTGCTGGACCTGTTGATTCTTACCCAACAATGCATACATGGCACCGAAACCATGAAAGGCCACAAAAAGACATACCACATAGTTGATATGTGTGTAATCCCTGCGATAATAGTTGATTACAAACGAACAAATGCAGACGAGCCAGGCGAACAGGGTATAGCCGACAAATATCCAAAATGATTGGAAACTGAAAGCGGAGAAAAAGAAAGGACTTTAAGTAATGTTTATTAAATTTATTACTACACTGTGTTACAAAGTAGAACGAAAAATAGAAGATAGGAATACTTTGACTTTCTAAAGGAACATTTTAACCATATTAACCATAAAAAAATCACCAAAAAAAACCCTTTGTCATCAAAAGAATTCTCGTATTGTTCTCTGTAAGACACCATATGACTAAAATGAATGGATCCAAGGAATCTTAATTTAAACATTTTAAAAAATGTTGATGAGGTGTTGGGATGTCTATTCAGATTATTTTTAAAAACATTCAAAACTTCGATACACGCGTTTTCTATTTTTAATTCAAATTTGATAATCTACTGGGGTTTTCTTCCACAATTATGAAAAAAAATGTGTAATGTGGTACCAAAACAGTGCGATCAATACCTATATCTGCATTAATTTTAATCAAATATGACAGACTTGCGGATTACTACGAATTTTAATGGGGATCATTCCCAGGCCATAAAATTCAAGAACTCCAGGGCATTCTATTTCAAAATATATTCTCTCCGAAGAAGATTTGAAAAAATCTTCTTTTTTTAGCTGACCTCTAACGGCTACTCATTTATAGAGGGACTCAAAATGACGTCCATCCTTAGAAGACTTCTAAAAATCTTTAAGACAAAAAGCGTTTTCATCTCTAGAATGTCTCAAAAGGAAGTTTATGCCCTGCAATGCTAAATGCCTTGAAAACTAAAAAAAAAGACTTTTGTCTATAGAAGTGGTTCTATTTCTAGAACACTTCGAAATGAACTTCTTTTTTTCTTTAGAAGGCCACATAGATCTTTTACATATAGTAGACCTAAAATGGTTAATGCCTGGAAGACTTCTGAAGGTCTAATTTTTTCTGAAAACCTTTAAAGTTGTTCTCTCCATAAAAGACCTTGAATGGTCTTCAAACCAAAGTCACCAAAATAGGTTTTTGGTCTCTCAGCCTCAGAATATCTCCTCTCCATAGAAGACTTTAAAACGTCTTATATTCATAAAATGCCTCAGAGAATCTTCTTTTCACAGAAGACCTCAAAGGGTCTTTGATTCAGTGGAGACATCAAAAGGTCTTCGATGGGAGACCTCAAAGGTCTTCCAATCATGATTGGGTCTTCCATCCATAGAAGTCATCCAAGTCGTCCATACATAGAAGAAATCAAAAAGACCTACAACAATAGAAATCGTTAAAATGTCTTCTGTCCGTAGAATATCCTAAACAGTTTCATCCATAGATGCCCTGAAAAAATGTTCGATCCAAATAGGATCTTGAAAGAATTCAATCTATAGAAAACCACAGTGGGTCTTTAGTCTTTACCACCCCTCAATTGGTCTTTAAGCCATAGGGCTCTCAAAGTGTATTCGATCCATAGAGGAGCTTAACGGTTCTTCGATCCATTAAAGCCCTCAAAGGGTCTTCTATTTACATCCATAGAAAACTTCAAAGGTCTTCGAATACAGACCAGGTCTTCGATTCATAGAAGTCCTCCAAGTGTTCCATACATAGAAGACCACAAAAGGACGTCCATCTATAGAAGTCATTAAAAGATCTTATGTCCATAGAAGACCCTAAAGAGTCTTCCATCCATAGATGATCTCAAAAGGTCCTCGAATCAAAGAGGGCTTCGGAGGAACTCAACCCATAGAAGACCACAGTGGATCTCAAAATGTTTTACATCTATACGAAACCTCAAAGGTCTTTGAATCATGATCGGGTCTTTGATCCATAGAAGTCTTCCAAGTCTTTCATACATAGAAAAACCAAAAAAGGACATACATCAATAGATGTCGTTAAAATGCCTTCTGTCCGTAGAATATCCTAAGCAGTTTCATCCATAGATGTCCTCAAAAAGTGTTGGATCCAAATAAGACCTCGAAGGAGTTCATTCTATAGAAAACCAGAGTGGGTCCTCGAATCAAAGAGGTCCTCGAAGAAACTCAACCTCAGTCCTCAACAGCTCTCAATGGCCCGTTACGTCATACGACTCTCGAAGTGTCGAGCAATAGAAGAGCTCAAAGGTCCTCATATTCTAAACAGTCTTTCATCCTCAAAAAGTCTGCGATCCAAAGAGAACCTTGAAGGAATTCAATACATAGAAAGCCTTTAGTCCCCAACAGCCCTCAATGGGTTATTAAGCCATAGGGCTCTCAAAGTGTATTCGATCCATAGAGGAGCTCAAAGGTCCCTCGATCCATAAGAGCTCTCAAAGGGTCTTTCACTTATAGAAGATCTCGAAATATCTTACATCCATAGAAAACCTCAAAGGTCCTCGATTCCATAACAGGTCTTCGATCCATAGAAGTCCTCAAAGTTTTCTGTACATAGAAGACCACAAAAGGACGTCCATCTATAGAAATCATTAAAAGGTCTTATGTCCATAGAAGACCCTAAAGAGTCTTCCATCCATAGATGATCTCAAAAGGTCCTCGAATCAAAGAGGGCTTCGGAGGAACTTAACCCATAGAAGACCACTGTGTACCTTTAGTCCTCAAAGCCCTCAATGGGTCGTGAAGCCATATGACCTCCAAGTGTCTTCGATTCATAGGTCATAAGTCATTCGCCCTTAAAAGCTCTCAAAGAGTATTCTATTCATAGAAGACCTCAAAATGTCGCACATCTATAGAAGACTTCAAAGATCTTCGAATCATGATCGGGTCTTTGATTCATAGAAGTGCTCCAAGTCTTCCATACATTGACGAATTTAAAATGACCTACGTCCATAGAAGTCATTAAAAAGTCTTCTATCCATAGAATATCCTAAACTGTCTTCCACCCATAGATGATCTCAAAACGTCTTTGATCCAAAGAGAACATTGAAGGAATTCAATACATAGGAAGCCACACTGCGTCTTTAGTCCTCAACAGCCCTCAATGAGTTTTTAAGCCATTGGGCTCTCAAAGTGTTTTCGATCCATAGAGGAACTCTAAGGTCCTTCGATCCATAAAAAAACTCTCAAAGGGTCTTCTATTTATAGAAGATCTAAAAATGTCTTACGTTGATAGATGACCTCAAAAGATATTCGATCCAAAGGGGATCTCGAAGGAATTCTATTTATAGAAGGTCACAGTGGGTTTTCCTCAACAGACTCCAATGGATCTTCAAGCCATACGGCTTTCAAAGAGTCTCTCATCTATAGAAGAGTTAAAAGGTTATTCGATCCATAAAAGTCCTCATAAGGCTCTTCGTTCTGTAGAAGACCTAAAATGGAAATCGATCCATGGAAAATCTCATTGGGTCTTCGATTCATAGCAGACATCAAAGGGTTTTCAATACATTTTGCACTATTCTTGGTTAAATTCAAAAGCTAACCTATCCATTGATACCCCCATCCATATTTTCAATATCTATCTATATTTTCAATATTCGAATAGCGATTTCTCACCACTTACCAATTATGAGTTGTAAATACGGACATTTTACTCGAATCTCCATTTGTCATTTCGCCTATTCTCAACAAAGATAGAATATAAAAAATTCCACTGAAAATACATGCCAGTAAAATCGGTGCATAGAAGTAGACAATAATCGAATAGTTGCGTGCTGAAATAAGTACAAACGAAAAAAAAAATATATATTATTCGAAATTAAAGATCCTGTTCCCATTCTACTTACGATCAAACCAACAAATATCGCTACCAAACACCGGCCGATTGTTGTAACTGGTATAGCTGACAAAAAAGGACCAGCATGCCGTGATCAGCACCGTGGGAAAGAACATAAACCAAAACATCAGCTTACTCAACAGAATGCCAAAGAAACTCAAATAAAAATTAAAACTGATAAAAGTTAAAATATAAAACGACAGAATCAAGTAGAGCATTGCAAAAATAGCTGGAAAAGAAATGTCGATTTTTAATAAATATACTAGCATTAGCTTTATCTTACGCTTAACACTTACGTATTTTGCTACAGGCATATTTTGTCATATCCATCGGATTGGTCAATGTCAAATGGGCCAATAGAGAATATCCAATTATTATGCATAGAGTGTATGTTTTTATGGCAACGCCGTAAAATGTATTTCTCAACTCTGTGCACAGCAGATACATGAAGAGTACAATTATCATACAGATGACCGTAATGATGAGACCTGCAACAAAATGGAAAACATATTAAAAATAAATAAAAAATAATAGTGAAATAGGAAACATATATCTACGCTCAATATAAGGTTTGAGTTTAGTTGTATGTAGTCCTATGTAGCGATGTGAAAACTTTGGTCTATGTTGTGAAATCTATCGACATGCATCATCTTCACGCTAGACTAGTGCGACCAAGTAAAAAAGCAGTTAAATTTGGATATTTTCAAAAAAAAAAAAAAAAAAAATAATAATAATAATAATAATAATAATAATAGTAATAATAATAATAATAATAATAATAATAATAATAATAATAATAATAATAATAATAATAATAATAATAATAATAATAATAATAATAATAATAATAATAATAATAATAATATAATAATAATAATAATAATAATAATAATAATAATAATAATAATAATAATAATAATAATAATAATAATAATAATAATAATAATAATAATAATAATAATAATAATAATAATAATAATAATAATAATAATAATAATAATAATAATAATAATAATAATAACAATAATAATAATAATAATAACTAATAATAATAATAATAATAATAATAATAATAATAATAATAATATAATAATAATAATAATAATAATAATAATAATAATAATAATAATAATAATAATAATAATAATAATAATAATAATAATAATAATAATAATAATAATAATAATAATAATAATAATAATAATAATAATAATAATAATAATAATAATAATAATAATAATAATAATAATAATAATAATAATAATAATAATAATAATAATAATAATAATAATAATAATAATAATAATAATAATAATAGAATCTTAAAATACAGAATGTAACCTGCAGAGGCAACTTTTGTCATAAGCCATTACAATATTCAAATACGAAACTTAAAACCAGCAAAGAAAGTCTTCAAGTCGGGCGGGGCCGACTTCATGATACCCTACACCACTTTGCTAATTTAGTAGAGCTGCGCATGACAGTTAAAAGTTTTTATGGGAGAATTCAATCATACACGCTATGATTACAATTATAATTTAAAGTTCAAAGGAATAAATATGCCGAAGCATTTGTACCTTTTAAATTCGGACTTGTATTGCGCATTTGGTGCACAATTAATTTGAAATCGGATAAAAATATATATGGGAGCTATATCCAAATCTGAACCGATCTCGATAAAATTTGGCAAAGATATTTCTGAGCTTTATTTGATATATTTCCCTGAATATCGTTGTTACGGAGTGCATATTACGGCTGTGGGTAACAAATATGACAAATCGGATGAACAATATATATGGGAGCTATAACTATATCTGAACCGATCTTCACCAAATTTGGCATACTACCTTCTAGACTAAATTCGGTCGTATGTGTCAAATTCCATCCCATTTGGACAAATATTAGACGTTTGGTGCACAATAAATTGTAAATCGGACGAAGTTATATATGGAAGCTATATCCAAATCTGAACCGATCTCGATAAAAGTTAGCAAAGGTATTTCTGAGCTGCATTTGATATATTTCCCCAAATATTGTTGTTACAGAGTGCATATTACGGCTGCGGAGGACAAAAATAACAAATCGGATGAACAGTATATATGGCAGCTATAGCTATATCTGAACCAATCTTCACCAAATTTGACATACTAGCTTCTAGACTCAATTCGGTCGTAAGTGCCAAATTTCATCCAATTTGGGCAAATATTAGACTTTTGGTGCACAATAAAAATTAAATCGGACGAAGTTATATATTGGAGCTATATCCAAATCTGAGCCGATCTCGATAAAATTTAGCCAATGTATTTCTGAGCTGTATTTGATATATTTCCTTAAATATTGTTGTTACAGAGTGCATATTACGGCTGCGGAGGACAAAAATAACAAATCGGATGAAAAATATATATAGGGGAGCTATAGCTATATCTGAACCGATTTCGATCAAATTTAGCATACTTATTTTCAGGATCGTACGTGCAAAATTCCATGCTATTCGGACTGATATTACACGTTTGGTGTACAATAAAAGGAAAATCGGACGAAGATATATATGGGAGCTATATCTAAATTAGGGTTCGTCCTTGGGCCAAACAAATTATTTGTGCAAAATTTCATCTGGATAGGGCAATAAATGCGAACTGTACTTTGTTTACAAAAATATATGGACCGACGGACGGACGGACGGACATGCATAAATCAACTCAGAATGTGATTCTATGCAGATCATCAAAAGGAACTATGGGTCTATCTCGTTTCCTTTTGCCTGTTACAAACAAATGCACAAAGACATAATACCCTGACCACCTCGTGGTGTACCCTCCACCATAGTATGGATGGTATATTAAGTTTGTCATTCCGTTTGTAACACCTCAAAATACACACACAAGAATATATATATACACAAAGTATATATATTCTTGATGAGCATAAAATTCTATGTCGATTTAGCGATGTCCGTTCGTCTATCCGTCTGTGGAAATCACTCTAGCTTCCGAACGAATTCATGTAGATTGATAAAACGTTACTCAAATGTATGTTATGTCTGCAGGACTTTTTGTATTGAAAATGGGCTATGTAGGTCCACGTTTTGGTATAGCCCCCATATAACGGTACCTCCCGATATTCGGTATTTTGATGATTTTAGCGACATTATTCACCGGAATTGTTTCAAATTTGGCATTTGAAGTTCGTAATGGATACTACAGCCAAGAACAGAAAATTGTCTTTTCAGGTCCACGTCTTCGTATAGCTGTCATATAACGGTACCACCCGATATTCGGCATTTTAATGATTTTAGCGACATTTTTCACCGGAATTGTTTCAAATTTGGCATTTGAAGTTCATAATGGATACTACAGCCTAAGACAGAAAATGTTCTGTCCAGGTCCACGTCTTCGTATAGGTTTCATATACCGGTACCTCCCGATATTCGGTATTTTAATGATTATATCTACATTAATACCGATTGTTTTTAAGTTTCGCATTTGAATATTGTAATGGCTTATAAGAAATGTTATCTATATAGCCCCTTACATTTGACAGCTACATTCGGTATTTTTAAGATTCTAACAGAATTTTTTAACGTATTTAATTGTTTTTGAGAATTGCCAAATACGTTCCAAATGGTGGAGGGTATTGTTATTGTCATAGGCTGTAGTTCCCATTTCAAATTCTAAATATGAAATTTGAAACAACTCCGGTGAATAATGTCCCAAAATCGTCAAATCGTCAAAATCGAATATCGGGGATACCGTTGTCTATACCATATCGTTGACCTATATAGACATTTCTCTTCCAGGGCACTATGGGGCCGAAGGCATATTTTTGAGGTAACATATCACAGGGACGAGGTAGAGCTTGCAAATTTCGTTTTTTAAACGCTAGTTGTGATGAGAACATCTGCCGAATTTTTTTGAAATAGGCAAGAAGATTTGAGATTTATGCACTTCAGAGTCGTGATATGAACTCTATAACAGCGATATTCGATACGAGGTATCAGATCAAGCTTAGAAACACTTTTGACAAATTTGGTCAAAGTCGGTTCAGATTTACATATAGCTCCCATATATTCCGCGAACGGGATGCATATTTCGGAGTTTATGATCGTTTTGGTTATTCACTTTGACTTTAAATTTCGCGTATTATGAGCTTCATGGGCATTCGAAATTTTGACCCTTTGTTGAAGGTACCAGATGGAGTGGAGCGATACTGTACATTTACGCACTTGACTTTGCACTGATGCAAATATTAGAATTTGTAAAGTTGGAGCAAAATCATAATCCTTTCTCTGTCCGTGCAGTGAAATATTTTTCTTTTTTTATACCCTCCACCGTACTATGGAGGGTATATTAATTTTGTCATTCCGGTTGTAACTCCTCGAAATATTCATGTCAGACCCAACAAAGTATATATATTCTTGATCAGCGTAAAATTCTAAGACGATTTAGCCATGTCCGTCTGTCTGTCTGTCTGTTGTAATCACGCTATCTTTCGAAAAAATTGAGATAGAAGGCTAAAATTTTGCACACATGTATATTTTCCCAGTAGGCAGGTTAAGTTTGTAAATGGGCCATGTAGGTCCAAGTTATCATATAGCCCCCATATAACGGTACCTCCCGATATTCGGTATTTTGATGATTTTAGCGACATTATTCACCGGAATTATTTCAAATTTGGCATTTGAAGTTCGTAATGGATACTACAGCATAAGACAGAAAATTATCTGTGCAGGTCCACGTCTTCGTGTAGCCCCCATATAACGGTACCCCCCGATATTCGGTATTTTGATGATTTTAGCGACATTGTTTACCGGAATCGTTTCAAATTTGGTATTTGAAGTTCGTAATGGATACTTCATCCAAAGTCAAAAAATGAGCCATGTAGGTCCACGTCTTCATATAGCCCCCATATAACGGTACCCCCCGATATTCGGTATTTTAATGATTTTAGCGACATTTTTCACCGGAATTGTTTCAAATTTGGTATTTGAAGTTCGTAATGGATACTACAGCCAATGCCAGAAAATTCTCTGTGCAGGTCCACATCTTCGTATAGCCCCCATATAACAGTACCTCTCGATATTCGCTATTTTTATGATTATATCTACATTATTACCGATTGTTTTTAAGTTTCGCATTTGAATATTGTAATGGCTTATAAGAAATGTTATATAGACCCTAATTTGACAGCTACATTCGGTATTTTTATGATTTTAACAGAATTTTGTAACGTATTTAATTGTTTTTGAGAATTGCCAAATACGTTTCAAATGGTGGAGGGTATTGTTATTGTCATAGGCTGTAGTTCCCATTTCAAATTCTAAATATGAAATTTGAAACAACTCCAGTGAATAATGTCCCAAAATCGTCAAATCGTCAAAATCGAATATCGGGGATACCGTTGTCTATACCATATCGTTGACCTATATAGACATTTCTCTTCCAGGGCACTATGGGGCCGAAGGCATATTTTTGAGGTAACATATCACAGG